AGTGCAACAACAACAACAAAGAAGAAGAAAAACAACAACAAAAAATAACGACGCCCATTTACAAACCGTCTAAGAACAGGGGCAGAAACATCGTGCACTGGAAAATTGAAAAACGCTATAAATTTTGATACTAAACTCGAACAACTAATGGATCCAACTCACCACAATAATCCGAGGAACAATCCAATAACCCGCTGAGGGTCTCTAGTCCAGGAGACATGATGAAGACGTTTCACACTAAACTGTCACACCGGCAGAAAGAATGAGAGGGTGAAAAAAAAAAAACAGAAAAAAAAATCCTGCACAACGGAAATTCCGTCAGAAGGTGGGCATGGATATTATAAACATGTTATCGTCTGCTACCACTGCGGCCAGATACCGAGCGAGGACTGCAAAACAAACGGATATCCTGCTCTCGTGGCGTGTGTGCCTCTCACGATAAGAGAGATGAGAAGTGAGCGCAAAGCATTTTTCTTAATTGCTCGCGACTCCGCGAGGAGCCACTGTATTATTTACCGTACGTTGTTGTTGTTTTCGACCCCCGCTCTGTTGGTCTGCTACAGTGAGATCGACCGAGCCCTTTCTCCACATACACCACACTGGTACCAACTAACACTTTTCTTTTCCCTTATCGTCACAAATGCTTTGTTGAAATGCGCAGTCTATTAGAACAACGCACACGTTAAAAAAAAACCACACAGCACAAAACCCCCATGAGCTAAACAGAAGATAATTGGAAGAGAGTAAAAATCTCCTTGAAACTGGGCGTCGCGCGTTATCCAAACAGCGCAGCAGATTTTCCTGTTCTCAAAGCAAGACACGAAAAGTATTTTCTCTCAAAAAGCAGAAAGAGGACGGGCGGCGCTTCCAGCCGGCTTCCCAGACTGTTTTCAGCAGAATGAGTAATCCCGACGGATGAATAAACAGGAGTAAAACAAACAGATCCAACGGCCGTCTTCGCTCCTCCAACAGAGAATAAATAAGAAGCGCAAAAGTGTCTCAGCTGGTCTTCGCTCGTTCACATCAGCCGCATGAGGCGAGGAGAACACTCTCTCCGAACACCGCGGCAACTGTTTCCGTTGTTTTGATGAGCTTGAAAACGTGATAAATCCAACGAAAAAAAAGGCCAGTTAATGTGTGTGTTTGTTACAGAAACCTTAGAGTTACGCAGTTTTGAGTTTTGGTTGACAGGGCGACAAGCCACAGTGAATCTCCTTTTTCCCTTGCGTCACGAAAGTGTAACTTACAAGCGTTTCTCCCACTCGTCCACCTGATAGACAGAGCCGAGAGTTGTGAAATCGAGTAGAAAGAGAGTGCGTGTGTGTGTGTGTGTCTGTGACAGAGAGAGAGAGAGAGAGAGAGAGAGAGAGAGAGAGAGAGAGAGAGAGAGAGCGTTCGTTGACCGACCGATAAATTCAGTCCTGTGAAGTTTCAGTCAAGCCAGCGAGAGAAGAGGCGAGAGAGAGAGAGAGCGAGAGAGAGAGAGAGAGAGAGAGAGAGGGCGGAGAGAAGGCGAGGAGTCAGCGAGGGGGTGCGGCAGAGCTGGGGAGGGGGAGAGGGTGGGAAGGGCTGCCAACTGCCAACACAACATTTCTACGTCGGGGTCACAGTTCACAAAGGGTAGTGGTAGTGGCCCGATATTTTTACCTTCTTATTTTTAACGTCATGAAAAACCTTGGCGGTTAACCACTCCAAAAGGGGTTAAGCCTACACCAGCTTTGACGGCTCTTTGGTTTTAAGCTCATTGATCGTGTGCAACTCAGATGAATAATACACAAATTTTAATACACACTCAGCGGAAAAACAAAGTCGTCTTTACAATACAGTATAATATACAATACAAAGGTTGTCAGTAGTTGATTTTTTTTTTCGTAGACAAAAAGGTTATGGGTGTTTGGGTAGTATCATTTCTTAAATAGATAGTGAGAGATAGATAGTGAGAGATAGAGAGATGATGGAGGGAGGCAGAGAGGGTAGGAGAAAGAAAAAGAATGAAAGAGAGAGAACAAAACATAGAGAGATATGGAGAAAGAGAGAAAGAGAATGAAAGACAGGACGAGAAAGGGAGAAGTACAATAAACATTCAAAAGAAGGAGGGTAAGAGAGCGGAGAGAAAGAGGGACAGAAAAGAGTTAAAGAGAGGGAGAGATAGTGTGTAAGAGAGAGAGACAGAGAGAGAGAGAGAGAGAGAGAGAGAGAGAGAGAGAGCCAGAGCCAGCAAGACAAAAGTAGACAGACACACACACAAACAGACAAACAAACAGACTAAGAGACAGACATATTACGAGGTCAAAAGAGGGTCGAAATAGAATGAACCACAACATGAAATCCTGAGTATGGTAATGCTGAAGTGCTCCAACGTCTAGATTACAGTACAGAGCAGTACAATACAGTATTGGATTCACAGTGGGACCTGAACGAAATGTATACAAGAGTCTAATCGTGTGTTAGTGTCGCTTAAAAACTAGGTTATTTCAAATTTCAAACGAGGGCAGCTTGGATCTGTTGAACATGTGATGAAAAAACTAGGGAAAACAGACGAATACATACATAAGTAGATGGATGGATGGAAGAGGGATGTAGAATAGATAGACAGACAGACAGACAGACAGACAGACAGACAGACAGACAGACAGACAGATAGACAGATAGATAGATAGA